ACAAGGAAAGAAACCCATGGCTAGTCTGAGATGTTAGATGATGGTCACTACTCCATTTTCCAGATGTGTTGAGAATATCTAAGAACATGTCACAGAGCACTAAATGTGGATTTTATTGCATAGATATTTCAGGAGGAGCAACACAATTCCACTGTTTTCCAAGGAAAATAGTCACCCCCTGTGGAGAGTACTCAGGGTATTTCAATCCTGGAATGATGTCTTGGTAGAAAATTAAAATGTCTGTGAGTTGGAAATCCAGAGTGAAAACGCTAACAAAAGAACCACCATGAGAATGATGCTGATAACTTTAAAAAAAAATAGAGTAGAAGTTAAAATATCTCATTAAAACTGCATTGCAAGGCCCAGAATGGGTGCTGCCTTCACATGTGAGATGGCTGACTGCTTGTCTGCTGGGCGAGAGGCCCCGGCTACAGACAGATCAGCCAGGCTCCCATAGTCAGCCTTACGCACCCTTACACCTGTGTGAAGAGAGGCTCCGGGCATGGAAGGGACAAAGTACACTCTTCGGCAAACTGCCTTGGTTTTGAATTCTGTCTCCAGCACCTGCTGACCGTGGGCATCCCTTAACTTGTCTAAACCTCAACTTTCTCATCCGTGAAGTAGGGGTTAATTGACAGCTGTGCCACAAATCGCTCCATGGACATGGCCTTGGCACCATTGCTGGTTCCGCGCCCACAGAGTCTGCCGCACTTCCAGAGGACTGAGCAAAATCACCCGGTGTGCTGTGTTCCTGATTTTCCCAGCTCTGGAGCAGGAGAGCATTGAATACGCAAGGACTTTAAGAAGTGCATAGTAGAGCACCGAAAAGGAAATCTGTGGAAGTGAAATTGACACTTTGAGAAGCAGTGACTTGAACAACCCTTGTCTTGACTGTCAAGGAACAGTTTTTTTTTTTTTTTCCTTCTTCATACTATTCGTTGAACTCCTTACTTACAATAGAGTTAATCACATGTGTATAAAGTCAATTTAAAATAGACCTCAGTAAAAATTACTTGGAATAAGAGAGGGAGGAGGAAGTTTGTAACTGTATAACTGTATAGTTCTGCATACATTCCTATGACCTTACTTCTTAGGGTACAGTTTAAAAACATGCCCTGGGTCCCCAAATCCCATTAAGCTGGGTGATAAAAATGCCATCTGAAGTGTTAAAGTGATCATTATTAAGTGTTAAAGATAGGCTGGCGCCACGGCTCACTAGGCTAATCCTCCGCCTTGAGGCGCCGGCACACCGGGTTCTAGTCCCGATTGGGGCACCAGATTCTGTCCTGGTTGCCCCTCTTCCAGGCCAGCTCTCTGCTGTGGCCAGGGAGTGCAGTGGAGGATGGCCCAAGTGCTTGGGCCCTATGCCCCATGGGAGACCAGGATAAGTACCTGGCTCCTGCCATCGGATCCGCGCGGTGCGCCAGCTGCAGCCTGCCAGCCGGCGGCCATTGGAGGGTGAACCAATGGCAAAGGAAGACCTTTCTTTCTGTCTCTCTCTCTCACTGTCCACTCTGCCTGTCAAAAAATAAAAAAAGATAGGATTAAGTGTTAAAGGTATCATATAAATAAGATCAACTGTCTGGTAATAATTATAGAATTAAAAAGGAGTGAATGCTCCAACATGGGAAGCAGTCCACACAGCAGACTCATAGAATAACAGTCACTTTAAATAGCATTTTGACCTCAGAATCAGCCCTTAAGGCATTCTGGTCTGGCTGAAAAGCCCGTGAGAGCATTTCAGGCATGAAAAGCCAAGACACCGTGGAAAAAAAAATGTCTTGCATGAAGGATCTCTGTGAATGAGACCCCAGTGGAAGGAAGTGGCCATCAAAGAAGGATGCATTTTTCTCTAAAGGGGGGTAGAGAATTTCCACTCTGCTTATGTCCTTGTCTAAATACTGATGGACTTGTGGATTCAAAAGGCTTCCATAGCCTTGGTAGCTCAGGTCAAGAGACTTCAGTGACCACTGACATCATACAAAAGATTGTTAACTGTTAACAAGAGGAGTCACTGTGCACTTACTTCCCATGCAGGACCTCTGTCCTTAATGAGTTGTACTATGAGAATTAACTATAAAACTTGTTCTCTTTTTTAAAGATTTTATTAATTTATTTGAGAGGTAGAGTTACAGACAGTGAGAGGGAAAGACAGAGAGAAAGGTCTTCCATCCACTGGTTCACTCCCTAAATGGCTGCAATGGCTGGAGCTGTGCCGATCCGAAGCCAGGAGCCTCTTCCAGGTCTCTCACATGGGTGCAGGGGCCCAAGGAGTTGGGCCATCTTCTACTGCTTCCTCAGGCCATAGCAGAGAGCTGGACTGGAAGAGAAGCAGCCAGGACTAGAACCGGCATCCATATGGGATGCTGGCGCAGCAATTGGAGGATTAACCTAGTGCACCACGGCGCTGGCCCCGGCCCCAAAACTTGTTCTCAAATGGCATGTGTATGTGTGTGAATATTGTTGAAATCTTTATTTAGTATAGAGTTGTTCTATATTCCCGAAGTTGTACTGAGGAAATTTGTATTCCTTAGATAAAAGGTTTCTTTGGGGAAAAAAAGCAGGGAAAAATACAGCTATTTTTCCTCAAAAAATAAGTGCATTGAAAAGGGAATTAAAAGCTAAATTTATTTTGAGAATCTGAAATTCATGCATTTGAGAGGTCTTCAAAAATTTTGTGGACAGTGCATGCTGTGACAAAACTGTGGGTTTCCAATGTCTGGGTATGAAAGCAAACTTGTTTCGTTAATTCTGTTTTCTCCATGAACTTCTCCACTGCTCTGGGACATGTATGACCTGTGGGAATCACCTCTATTCTTTATCGTTGCAGGGGGCAGGGAAGAATTCTAAAGGTCAAGTTGAACTTAGTGGTGGAAGGAAGGCAGGAAACCACGGTACAGGTGTGGGTCTAGGCAGGAACGGCACCCCCACGGCTGGCTCTGATCCCTCACAAGCTCTCAGAAGCCACGGATATTTCTGCACATGAGAGACACTGAATTACAGTCCCTGAGCAGGGAGTAAAGCCCATTTTGAGTGGGCTCACTACAGCTTAGGGTGGTCTTGGTTAGTTAATGCTCCATCTTCTAAAATTGTGTTTTCCCTAGAGTAATTATGAATCAAAGAAGAAAAGACAAACTATAAAGTAGTCAGTGCTTCCATAGTAAGCACTAAACCTATCCAGAGGCTTCCTGGGAAATGCATCGGCCAAGGCAGCAAATCTTCGCAGTCTGTACTTCTGGACAGGTGTTTGGCCTAGAAGTGAAGATGTGGGTTAGCACTCCCATGTCCCACAGCACAGTGTCTTGGTGTCATGTCTGGCTTGTCCTCTACCCCAGCTTCCTGGCCATCACAGCCTGGGCAGCAGGGACACAGAGGGGATGGCTCGGTCATTGGATCCCTGTCGTCCTCAAGGGAGAACTGGACTGGGCTTCCAGCCCCTGGCTTCTGCCCAGCCGAGCCTTGGCCATTTGGGGCATCTGTGGAATGCAACAGTGGGTGAGAGCTTTCTCTTCCTCTCAGTCTCTCTCTTTCCCTCTCACAATAAACGAGCTGCCTGTGTCAGTAGAGACTTGCAGGAACTACAATGATCTTTCCTTCCTCCGTCCCTCATTCCTGCGCCGAGGCAGGGCCGTGGAGCGCCACAGCGGGCGCTCCCCAAGTCAGCAGCATCCCCTTGCTGGCTGATTCTCTGCCAGCAGCTCCACGTGGGGCTGAGTGGTCTGGGACAAAGGGGCTTCTCCCTCCGGAGCAGCACACAGTGTGGTCACCCAGGCCCTGCTGCACACGGTTCTAGGGACCCAGACAGCTTTGCTCTGCCCTCCTGGGTTGCAGGTTCCTGGATCAAGGTCACCATGGCATCATCAGTTTCCTCTCTCTTTAAGAAGCCTCCAGAGTGGGCTCTGGCCTCTGTTTCCTCCCGTAAGTCTCATCTGCAGCCAATCAGCAAGAAGTGTTCCAGCTGTGGTCTGGGCGATGTGCCCCCCACACACTGGTGAGGCAGACCCTGCTGTGGGACCCCACGTCCAGAGCTGTGCGGTCTCCAGTGGCTCCCCCTTTCTAGGTCTAACGATGCTAGGAGAAGACTCCTGGGGGAGTGTGTGAAGAAGCCCCTTGGCCCAGGGATTCCAGACAGCAAGCATCTGAAAGATCCCGCACATATTACCTTGACACTAAGTACTGCCTGCTTCCACGTATCACCTGTAATCAGGTATTATCTCAGTCCATGCGAGTTCTTCTGTGGGACAGATGCCCCTGGTCTCAGAAACAGATCAAAACATGTGCCCCAGGGCAACACGGTTAGGACCTGGTGGGATCCGTGTGACTAGTGCCTTCTGTCTTACAGAGGAGGGTCCAAAGTGTTAGAAAGCCTGCAAGCCTCCAGGCGCTCTGTCGGAAGCGGGTGAATGTGCCCCCGCCAGCCCCCACCCCCAATTCACCAGCAGGTGGTTCCTTGTGGACACTCTGCACAGGTAGACTGTGTGGGTGGGTGTCTGTCTTGAGAGAGACTCCTATGCCCTGTTCACAAGTTATTAGTACACCCTGTTGACATTGTGTACAGACAAACATGACAACCACACATACACACACAGATAACACACACACACACACGTGCACACCAGGCAGTGAGGATGACTGTGGCTTAGGGCAAGCTTCGCACAGGTGTCAGCGTGGGTGTGAATTCATTTTCTAAGCAAGGGGCCCAAATGACAAAATGAATAGCAAAACCACAAAAGAAACTGTGCTTGATCTTGGTTAGAAAAAGATGCAGACGACAGTGGGAGAAAGTGAGGTGTAGGTGTCATAAGGAGATGGGAAAAGAGTGAGGGAGAGACGAGAAAAAGTCACAGCATAGCTCTCTAGCAGGCTTTTCTTAAAACAAACGAGTGTGGCCCTCGCCTGCCACATCCCCGTCTTGTGGGGCGCCTCGCGTTCCTAGACCTGAGAATAAGGCAGAGGGCCCAGGGGTCTGGTTCTGCGGACGATCGTGTTGAGTTTCCTACCGATTTGCCTGAGCCGGCACCGAAGGTCCAGCCACGCAGCTCGTCTGCCGCTCTGCCGCCAGCTGCTGCAAGGCTTTCTGGACGTGTAGCTCCACCTCCGTGAGAGGCGCAAACCTGTGTGCGGGTGCTTGTCGACCCTCCATCGGCCACCACGCTGGGCTCGCGGTGGCACCTTGGCCATTAGCCTGCTCTGTGTCGGAGGCGCGAGTGGGACCAGGACCTCTCAGGGACACAGCTCGCGTTCAGTCCCAGACTCTAATTAATTAGCTAACTAGCTCCCCCTCTGGAAACTTCCCTTTCAAACCAGAACTGCACGGTGTGTAAAGCAATGGCTGCAGTCACACAGGATTGTCTCATAAGCACATGCCTGAATGCATTAAAATCTGTACAAGTGCAATAGCAAACTGGTAACAGGAACATTTTTTATGTTTACATTTTATGTTTACAGCTTTCGAATCACTGTTTTTACCCAAGACTTTCTGACACAGCTTATAAAGAAAAGGAATCACCCACTTGCAGAATTATTGAGAAAATCCTACTGCTTAAAGAGTTAGGTCAGGGGGCCAGCACTGTGGTGCCGTGGGTTAAAGCCCTTGCCTGAAGCGCCGGCGTCCCATGTGGATGCTGGTTCTAGTCCCGGCTGCTCTTCTTCCCATCCAGCTCTCTGCTGTGGCCTGGGAAAGCAGTAGAAGATGCCCAAGTCTGCTGTGCCCATGTAGGAGGCCTTGACGAAGCTCCTGGATCCTGGCTTCAGATCAGCACAGCCCCAGCTGTTGCAGCCATCTGGGGAGTGAACCATCGGATGGAAGACCTCTCTCTCTGTCTCTAACTCTCTCTGTAACTGTGTCTTTCAAATAAATAAAGTAAATATTAAAAAAAAGAGGTCAGGAAGCACAGCAAAAAATTTGTCACCAAAAAATGAGCTTGTGTCACTGTTAGCAATGCAGACCCTTGGCAAAATCCATGGCGCTGGTATTATCTATTTTATATTTTTATCATTTTATTTTTCTTCTGATCCAGACTTTCTCTTACTCTGTCTTATTCCAAAAGCAACACAGTATTGCCTATCTCCACAAGTCAAGCAATGTGGCTGGCTATTACATCGCATTCCGCGTAAGTGGTGGGCCGCTACGTGGTCTGTGGGTGTCTCAGGATCAGAATAGCAGCAAAGAGATAAACTGAGAGCGGTCAGTGCTGAGACAGGGCAACTGGCACCTGTTGGCTCTCTAAGCCCCACCTGTCAACCTTGGCTGAAGGTCACACCGTGCACAGCGCTTACGTCACTGCTGGTGTTCGGGTGCCCTCTTCAGGGGCTCTGATTCCACAGGTCTGGTGTTGCAAAGGCCTCCAGAGATTCAAGTCCATGGCCACAGCAGAGTCCTGTTTTCTGCAGACTGAGCTGCAAACAATGGCTAACAGAGGCCACGGCCACCCCGTGTCCCTCACCCCCTCCCTGATCCTGGTGTTGGCTCCTCTGTGGACTCCGGATTTCTTCTGCATGGGTGACCCTGCCTTGTGGCTGGGGCAGTTAGCCTGGCGGCGGCTCCTGCCCAGGGCCCCAGTTTGACCTCTGCTGTGTCTTAGCTCGCCGAGGCTGCCTCAGCAATGCTCCCCGGGCTGGGCTCCCTCAGCACCGAGGGCTGGAGCGCACCTTCGCCGCGTGGCCTCTGTGCACGACTTCCGCGTGTGTCTGTGTCCTGGTTTTCTCTGCTTATGTGGACGGTGCTCAGATTGGCTTAGGCCCACCCCCATGACCTCGCTTCTCTTTAAATACCTCTGTACAGGTGCTCTCTCCAAGGACAGTCATGTTCTAAGGTCCTGGGGATCAGGGATTCACCTGACAAATTTTGGGGCCAAGCTTCAGTTCATCTCAGCTGGGCAGAGTGTGCCTGCACCAGTAGCAGGTGTGCCCTGGTCACAGCTCTTAGAACAGTGACTGCAAAAAAGTGTCAGTGGAATCAGAGCACACAATGGCTCTTTTTTTTCAAGATTTATTTATTTGAAATCAGAATTACAGAGAGAGAAGGAGAGGCAGAGAGAGAGAGACAGAGAGAGAGGTCTTCCATCCGCTGGTTCACTCCCCAGTTGTCCACAATGGTCGGAGCTGTGCGGATCCGAAGCCAGGAGCCAGGAGCTTCTTCCAGGTCTCCCACACAGGTGCAGGAGTCCAAGGACTTGAGCCATCTTCTACTGCTTTCCCAGGCCATAGCAGAGAGCTGGATTGGAAGTGGAGCAGCCGGGACTAGAACCGGTGCCCATATGGGATGCTGGCACTGCAGGCAGTGGCTTTACCTGCTACGCCACAGCACCGGCCCCATGATGGTTCTGACCTGACTCCCTGGGCTCGCTTAATCCGATTCCAGCCGTAGTGACAGTCCTCGGAGGCCCCTTCCTGGGCAATCCATCCCTCCCCCCACATCCACAGCAGAAGGAAAACGTAGACGGCCCAGCTCTCACCTTAGGAATTTCTTGACATCCCAAGTGGCTTCATCCTGGGCTCTGGCAAGTGTCCACCCCCACGGCCCCAAGGGCTGGGTAGGGTCCTGCCTGCACTGCAGCTCAGCCTGTGTCACCCGCAAGGACCCTGTGTGACCTCAGACAGTTTGAGACACGGGGGTGCACGTCGGCGCCCCTTGGCAGTGGCCGATTGTCCAATCTTTCCTTCGGTCCTCGGATCCTCACACTTTCAGTCACCCTTGGTCCCTGCCAAACCTTAGAAACCTTCAAGTGCTTGCAGTTTAGAATTTCCCTTCTAACTCTGCATTCCCTGCACCGCAAGGTTGGCTGCACTTCTGTTGTCATTCGTGCCAGGGAAGGCTCAGGTCCACTCAATGCCGAATCTGCAGACGGAATTCTCCCACCAACTCTGTGTGTCCTCCAACTCTGCACCCATTTCAGCTTCACCCCCTGCCAAAGTAGCTCTGTGCAGCTGTGGGAATCTGGATTTATTTTCTGCTAATTAGTGCTGTAGGATGCCCACGTTATTCCAAGTCCACTGCATTGGGAGGTTACATCGAGTACCAAGACAGAAACAACCATAAGAACAAAGCATGACCTTGACCTCCCTAACGCAGGTCGTGTCTCCATCAATTCTGACACTTTGTAGATCCTCTTTCAACACCCGAGGGTCTGAATCGGATCCGATTTCATTCAAGGGATCGTTTTCAGGCAAAATGGGAAAGAGACCAGACTGTTGAACTTTACAGGTGAATCAAACCAGAGAGGAGGAGTGGGCAGTCCAAAGCCACGCGGAAGGTTAGTCAGAGCTGGAATTAGCCGCACAGACCCGGCTAAGCTGCATGCCTCAGGACCCTCTGTTGGCGTGCTCCAGGGGGTGGCAACACTGGACAGTACCAGCTCCCTCGAAAAGGTGCATGGATACAGGAACTAAAAACCAGTTTATTTTGGTGCAAAACTTTCTGCAATCCACGCCAACAAGTGGTCTTCAGAAAATACTTGAAAGGTGTGGCGTTTGGCGGCATGGCGAAGTCATGGCGTGGGATGCCTGCGTCCCGTGTCTGAGTGGCGGGCTTCAATCCCAACTTTGCTTTTGACTCCAACTGCTGGTGTGGACCCTGTGAGGCAGCAGAGGACGGCCCAAGTGCATGGACCTCTGCCACCCAAGCGGGGCACCTGGACGGACTTGAAGGCATCTGGTTTCCATTTGGGCCAGCCCTGACCACTGGGGATATTTGGGAAGTGAACCAGCACGTGAAATCTCTCTCCCTCTCTCTCTCTCTCTCTCTCTCTCCTCTCTCTCTCTGTGCCTTTCAAATAAATAAAAATAAATAATAAATAAAAAATTTTCAAAGTTCAAGGAAGCGGAGAATTATATATAAAAAAACTATTCATGAGCTTCAAAATTCTTACACCAAAATACCTTTACCTTATTCCGTTTTCTGGGCAATTTTAAAGCTGCCTCCGGTGTCACTGTCTTCCATAGTGTCTGTGCACAAAGCCCGTGACGTTAAAAAGTGAACAGCGGTACACAGATGTTCCCTTGAATTCTTAAACACCCATTATATTCAGAACACACAGGCCTGCTGCAGAGACCAGGAGGCAGTGGGAGGGGGGCGCTCATAAGAAGAGCTGGACCGGGCGTCCTCAGGGCCACTCCCTCTCGACTCCCAGCAGCCATCTGGTGGTCTGCGTGCCGGCCAGATCGCCCGTGACGTCCACCGAGTGAGTCGCCTGGCCCTGAAAAAGCCAACACAAAGCAGCCACCAAAGAAGCCTGCACCTCCTGCCTTCCCCTGCGCTGAAAAATCTGGGGGTGACAGCTGCCTGGGCGGGGGTGGGGGTGGGGCAGGGGTGGGACCTGCATCTCAGGGGCAGGGAGAGTGCCAGGAGGAAGCGTTGGAGTGCGAGGCTCCTCCCCACTGCACAGGCCTTTAAGAAGGTAGCTCCTGTTTCTGGGCTGCACGCCTCCTCCTGTCCCCGGGGTTGGCTCACAGAAGGCAGAACCCGGGCCTGCTCCCCTGCAGAGCTCACGTGTGAGTGAGTGACAATCCCTTCTTTTGCTACAAAAAAAAAAAAGAGAGAGAGAGAGAGAGAGAGAGAGAGAGAGAATCACTAAAAGGCTGAAGATGTCTCTCCTTAAAAAAAAAAAAAAAAAAAAAAAAAAGAAAGCTGGTTTGACGTGGCATTGAATTCCTTAGGGCACTGTGTCCGTTTCAGGAGAGCGGGCTTCTCCTCCTCACTACCTCACTAGGGAGTTTTGCCTCGTCAGCTTCTTCCCACGTGGGGTCGATTTGGCTGGGGGCTGTTTCGGGGTCCAGCCCAGAGCAGCCGGCACGTGTGTTTCTGGTGGGGAGCTCCACCAGCCAGTGGGTCCTGCAGCACGAACGGGAACAAGTCCCTCCCCCCTCTCTCCCCCCTCCTCCTCCCTCCCCCCTCCCTCCCCCCATCTCTCTCTCTCCCCCTCTCCCTTCCCCATCTCCCTATCTCCCTCCCTCCCTCTCTCTCTCCTTCTCTCTCTCCCTCTCTCTCTCTCCTTCTTTCTCTCCCTCCTCCCTCCCCCCTCTCTCCCCCTCTCCCTTCCCCATCTCCCTCCCTCCCTCCCTCTCTCTCTCCTTCTCTCTCTCCCTCCTCCCTCCCTCCCTCCTTCCCTCTCTTCCTCCCTCCCTCCCTCTCTCCATCCTCTT